TACAAATAATACCTGACATAATCTTGGTTTAAGACTCCACGTCTCCGTTAAGCCCGCCATCGTTTTTCAAGCCTGCCCTAGTTTTCTCTTCTTTGGATGATATTAATGTACAGTAAACAGTAGGTGACCATAAAAATACACTTAGTTATACTAATTAATTTATGTTCCATCATTTTGTGTCGTAAGGAAGCATAGCAAGGTCTTTGAGTGGCAGAGACCATGTTTCGTATAACCTGTGTGTGTGTGTGAATGTATGTGTGCGTGTGTGAATGTGTGTGTGCGTGTGTGTGCATGCGTGTTAGTGCACATGCACTGGCACAGACATGATTATCTGTCCCACAGAAACCATTACAGAGCTGGATACAAGCTGTTTAGAGACTATTTGTTGATTGATTCAGTGATTGAAATTTGAATTTTTGTGATTATATTCACTTGTATAACTTCTACTTTTTCCCGTTATTTTCATGAGCATTTGGGTCCCCATCCTCCACTGCCTTCAGGAATCACCCTCTGGGGAATCTCTGATTTACTAAACAGCAGTGACTTTAATAGAGTAACACAGCAACCAGTGGCAATGTTAATTAGAATTGAGATCTCCTGACACGTTCCTTTGCTTTATGTCGGTAATTCTTCCATTCCTCAAAAGAGTTGTTAAAAGCAACCATTCCAAGTGGCTAAACTACTTTCGGTAAAGTGATAGACTGTGACGGGTAGCAGTCCGTCTGTGCGCGTGCGCGCGCGCGCGCGCGCGCGTGTGTGTGTGTGTGTGTGTGTGTGTGTGTGTGTGTGTGCTTGTGTGAAAAAGAGAGAGAGAGAGAACCAGAGGCAGACAGTTGGCAGAGGTGGGTATTGATAGGTGGAACAGGTGAAGTATTCTTTCCTCTCTAGCATTAGGTGTGGACCTGAGTATCTCTGTTGTTTAGGGAGAAAGATTACTGGTCGCAGTTCCGGTGTTTCTGGTAGAGGGATTCGTTTTTCAGTGGCCCAGTGGCGAGGAGAAAATAATGAAGAGGTAGTGTGACGAAAAGAGAAGGGTAAATACCAACTTCTGTTCCAAACAAAATGCTCCCTTCACTGGTTATTTGTCTATGATGGACAAAGGCCATCTCACTGTTCAAGTAATCGTAATGCTTTTTTGAGTGTTCATGGTGATAGTTTCTCTGGTACATGAGAAACCCTAACTTGCACTGACGTTGTTGTCTACGGGACTCTACATTTGCTCCTGCATTTCACATTTATTTATTCATTAAGTTTTTATTTATTTATTTATTTATTTATAGAGAGAGAGTGGGAAACACAGAATGGGGGGGGAGAGAGAGAGAGAGAAGTGGGGGAGGGGCAGAGAGAAAACCCAAGAAGGCTCTGTGCAGTCAGCAAGTGCCCAACTTGGGACTTGATCTCATGGACCATGAGATCATGACCGAGCTGAAACCAAGAGTTGGACAATTAACCCACTGAGCCCCCAGGCGCCCCTCACATTTCTTTTAACATAGGCGCAAATGCGTCTTTATCAAAATGTTCCAAAAATATTTTCTTTTTCCACCTTTATCTACTTCTTTCGTCACGTAAGATGGAGAGGGTGCGGGACTGAAGATATTTATGTCATTTCTTCCGATCAGCAGAAGGTTTGCTGCCCTACAAACAGAGCTGAAAGACCCAGGAAGGCAGATTTGAGATGTCAACAAGCAGAAGAGATGCTTCAGGAATTTGCAGTTGAAGAAAGTGAAAGTGTGTTATCAATCCTGTTTACACTCTAAATTTCTCGGAGGAGTCACGTCAAAGTGTCAAAAACATATCACGGTTGTACTCATTTTTATGCACCCTTCCGAAGGTTCAGTTAAAGTTTAATTGTGGACCATCTAATTGTTTCACCTCCATTTATAGCACGAATTCTTCTTCTTCTGCCCACACTTAAAAATGTTTGGTTGCCACGGGTCCACACTTCTTTTCCTTGCCATCTCCATGGTCTTTTCCTATAGTTTACAATCATCTGGTCTTAGGGTTCTGAACACTCCAAATGTCTCTAACTTCAGTCTGTCATACTGCTGAGTCTCTTTAGCTCCAGACCTGTAATTCCAAGTGTCTACTAGCTTCTTAACTAGATGTCCCAGATCGCTCTCAACTTAGCATAGTCAGAAAAGAAGTCCTGACTTCCCCACCTAAACTATGGTGTGCAACTCAAATGGACACTTTCTATTTTAATAAACGGCCACGCAGTCACCACTTCCGGAAGCCTTGGAGTCATCATGAACCTGTCACGATGAAAATGGAATTGCCTTATACCTATCTTAAAAATATTTAAGTGACTACAAAATAGCTACGCATAACGTTCAAACCCTAACCATGATGTGGCAGATACTGTCCATTGCTTACGTAACGCTGTTCTCCCCTTATCCCTGAGAACAGACTGTTGCTTTCATTTCTGAGAGATTTAAGAGAAAGAAGGGCCCTCTGTAAACTCATGGAGATCCCATTCCCCTTCGCTGAGTGATGATGGGTCCAGAGGACATGTTTCCCAGTTTAGGCCGACCAGATGAAAGGGACCGTTTGCTGGGGCACGATGCCCAGAAATGTCAGCTCATGATCATGAAAAAATCGTCAAGGGTAGCAGAAGGACAGAGTTAAAAAAAACAAACAAACAGAAAGTCCCTGTGTCCTCAATGATAACAGTGAACAGTTGGAAAATACCTGGAGCTGGCAGTGCAATGGGAGTTAGCAGAAGCCATTATTACTTAAGCCACGTAATTGGCATGTTGTTGCTGAAAGCATTTCTAGGTAATATACAAGGCCCTTCAGGATTCTTGCTCTCTGGAACCAACCAACTCTGTAGTTTCTTCTGTCAGTCTTCCCCCGCGTTTCACTCCAAACACACTCTGTTCCATCCTACAGCATTTTAGGTGTTCATCCAGACGGCCGACTTCTTCTCCAGCATTCTCCTGGTGAGCAGCTCTTGATGATTCAAGCTCTACTAGGTCAAACGTTACATCTTCAAGCTGTTATTTTACCCACTAAAATCCCCTGATTGTTCTTGCCCAAATCATGCACTCCCAGGAGAAATGAATTGATTTCTCTTTTGTTTCATGCATTATTTGTATCTAACACATTATATTGTAATGGTTGTATTTGTCTGTCTTGCACTTGACTTTGAGCACCTAAATGCAAGGATGCCTTATTCATCATTGTGCTCTCAGACACTAGGACAGTGGCTGTTACGTAATAAACATTCAGGTAATGTTTTTGCTTTTATACCTCTAGTCCCAGTAAGAGTATATATCATTCATGTTTTTTTTAAACAGAACTGGTGTAAATTTAAATTTTTTTAATGTTTTATTTTTGAGACAGAGAGAGAGAGAGCATGAGCAGGGGAGGGGCAGAGAGAGAGAGGGAGACACAGAATCCGAAGCAGGCTCCAGGCTCAGAGCTGTCAGCACAGAGCCCGACGCGGGGCTTGAACTCACAGACTGTGAGACTGTGACCTGAACCGAAGTCGGACGCTTAACCGACTGAGCCACCCAGGCACCCCTAGAACTGGTACAAATTTAAATAATTAAAAAATACTACTAATAAGCCTAAAATTAATCATAAGTCCCAACTGGATAGTGATGTCAACCTTCCTTGGGAGAGGTGTTGTTTTTTCTACAAAATATAATTTGTTCCCTACATTTCTTTTCTTTTTGACAAAATACATGCATCTTCTCAAACACCTATAGCTATTTATACTCTACTCACAAAAATACATTTTTACTTTCTGCTAAATTCACTTGTCTCTTCCCCGAGATTTTTGTGGCTCCATCACCAACACTGTGAGTTACATTTTAAGTCTGGGGAAGCTACTGCTCTGTCTCTGTCTGGGTCCTGTTCTAGAAACATCCCTTCCCAAATACAGAGATCATTCATACTGTTCCAATTTTAACTTGTGCATGACTACTAGAGAGACCACAGGCCGAACACATGTAAATTGGTTTCCAGGATGAGTATCAGAGTTGAAAAGAACATTAAAGGATTGGTCTTTTCTTCAGACCTCTAACATTCTTAACGGGTAGAAACCTGAAAACTACGGGAGGTCACTTGATTATTTGTGACTCCTACACCAACAGCTCTAGGTGAGTCCCTCATGAAGACTAATCACTTTAAAGCAAACATATGCTGCTTCTAAAAACTTGATGTTTAATAATATTTATCTATCAACAATTCAAAATTACACTGCAGATCTGAATTGCAGCTTGGGAAATTTAAAGGTGAATTCCATTAAAGTGTTCTAACTCGGTTGACTTAGATCTGGAAACTTAGTGGCATGCCCAAGGTCCGGCTACAGAGTTCAGCTCATCACTGCACATACTTCATGATCTAGACTGTCTCCACTGCCTTCAGATAGTTTTTGTTACCTATGAATCGTCACTTTCACTTTCTGTTCAATTCTTCCCAGTTGCCTAAGATCTATTTTGAAACAAAGGAGACATAAACTCTAAATCACTTAAACTTTATAAATTAAAACTGCTTTAGGGGCACCTGGTGGCTCAGTTGGTTGAGCATCTGACTCTTGATTTCAGCTCAGGTCATGATCTCAAGATCGCGAGATCGAGCCCCACATCAGGCTCTGCAATGAGCATAGACCCTGCTTGAGATTCTCTCTCTCCCTCTCCCTCTGCCCCTCCTCCGCTTGCTTGCTCTTTCTCTAAAAAACAAAACAAAACAAAACTGCTTTAGATGAGGCCTCTACATGCCTTTAAAGAAACGTAATACAAGATGTTTCAAGCTGTCAGAGCTGCCTCGTTATACAGCTCCAAGAAGCGCTATTCACTTCTCTATGTCCCTGTGACTAATGCCCCCCCCCACAACCGAGACAATATATTGTCTCAACCCTTTGTGTGAAGGGCTACTTATGCTGTCTCTATGGGTCGAGACAGTGATATCTGTGGTTATGGTTCTCTAAGTGACAGTTGTGTAAAAGTAGTTTCTGGAGAAACAAGGAATCACCGGGTGAGAGATCATGATCTTACCTGAGCTATGGTTTCCTGCTAACAAGGTGGGGCTTACGGAGCATCTTCCCAGTCTGCTGGTGACTACAGGCGGTCCTGGTGTTCCATCCCATTCCTGAGCTTTGATAGGCTCTCTGGAAGATGCCCCGTGATGCCCTCTCTCTTTGCTCTCCAACTTTGGTAATGGCTCCGTGCTGTGACTTCGGACTTTCAGTTCCTCTGTCGATTCTGTGTGTTAACCAGAATTACATTCTGTTAAGCATAAGTCAAATTCTTCCCATATTCTTTTAAAACATTAAAGAATGATTTTCTAATATGCTTTCAATCTATTTTTGTGAACTTGGAAATGTGTTGGAGATTACACCATTTAAATATAACAGGGATGGAGATCACCGTGTGCAGGTTAATATCACTGGGAAATAGTTTTCTCATTGGAAGAGAAAACCTCAGTGAATCATGCGTCTCTTAGTAACTCTTGCATTCACTGTCAAGGAAACTTCTTTTTTTTTAATTTTTTTAATGCTTATTTATTTTTGAGAGAGAGAGAGAGCACGAGCAGAGGAGAGAGAGAGAGAGAGGAAGACACAGAATCCGAAGCAGGCTCCAGGCTCTGAGCTGTCAGCACAGAGCCAGATATGGGGCTTGAACTCACAGACTGTGAGATCATGACCTGAGCCGAAGTTGGAGGCTTAACTGACTGAGCCACCCCGAGACCCCAGAAACTTCTTTTTTTTAATGTTTATTTACTTTTGAGAGAGGGAAGGTGCAGAGAGAGACAGACAGAGAGAGAGAGAGAGAGAGAGAGAGAGAACGAGATCTCAAGCAGTTTCAGCGCTGACAGTGCAGAGCTTGATACAGGCTTGATCCCATGAACCATGAGATCATGACCTGAGCTGAAACCAAGAGTCGGATGCTTAACCGACTGAGCCTCATAGGTTCCCCTCAACTTCAAGGAAACTTCTTAAAGAGCATATTACACTCACTGTCTTTACTGTCATATCTTCCATTCATTCTGCTACCCCCTGTGAATTCCTGAATTCAGCCCACCGCTCTAGTAAAACTGCTTGTGCTAAGAGCTCCTATTCTAGTTGGCAAATTTAGAAAACACTTCTAAGGCATTTGACAACTCCTTTATTACTCTCGTCTATATCTTCGATTCTCTTGGCTTCCCGAATGGCCCATCTTCCTGGGTTGCATTCTACACACAACACTATTTCCATGTCATTCATATGTTCTCTTCCTTCACCCATCCCTTATATGTTGTCCCCAAGATGCTAGGTTAGCTGCTATTCTTCTCATTCTATTAGATATACTTTTCCTGTGATTTTACCTTCCAGGATTGTTAGCGATTTTTAAATAGTTTACTACAATCCTGGATCATTGCCCTGAGCTTGCTTGCTTGCTTGCTTGCTTTATTTATTTATTTGTTTATTTATTTATTATTTGAGAGAGAGAGAAAATGCATACACAGAGAGGAGGGGCAGAGGGAAAGGGAAAGAGAACCCCAAGCAGGCTTCATGCCCAGGGCAGACCGTAGCACTGGGCTGGATGATCCCAGGACTGTGAGATCATGACCTGAGCCGAAATCAAGAGTGAGACATTTAACCAACTGAGTCATCCAGGTGCCCCTCTCCTGAACTTTGCACCCCTTTATCCAACCGCCAGCTGGGTCTCTCTGGATGCCCCATGGGTATTACAAATTTAACATTTCAGATATTGGACTGACGCCATTTCTTACTAAGCCAGTAGTTCCTCCTGTCCTGTCCAGCCAACCACCCCAACTAGAAGCTTGTCTCTCCCTTTCTTTAACTGCTACTCCCCAAATCTATCAGTAGTATATTCTGCAGGTTTTATTTATGAAAATCTTGCTTTCTCTTCTGCCACCCTTTGTATCATATCTACCTCAATTACTTTGGTTCCAACTCTAATCATTACTGCAGCTTCCCTCTTAGTCTCCATCTATCTATCCTCTCCAAAGCATGAACTCCATATACTGCCCAAATGACCTGTTTAAAATGCAAATCTAACCAAGTGTATTTTATAGAGAATGGATATAATTGGCATTCTGGTACCCATGTACAGAAGTGTTCAAGAACACACGTAGCAAGGGGCACCTGGGTGGCTCGGTCGGTTAGGTGTCCCACTCTTGATTTCAGCTCAGGTCGTGATCTCAAGGTTGGTGGGTTTGAGCCCCGAATCCAGCTCTGTGCCGACAGCTCCCAGCCTGCCTGGGATTCTCTCTCTCTGCCCCTCTGCAGCTCACGCTAGCACACACGCACACACACGCTCTCTCAAAATAAATAAGCTTAAAAAAATAAACACACAGGTCGTAATATGAGTGACAACCGCTTGTTACTTTCAGAACAGTGTTGTTTCGGGGAATGGATGCCACAGCCCTTCTATAGTGCCTATAGAGAAGTGTTTAAAACCAAAAACAAACAAAACAACACAACCTGTTTACAGTGTACTCTTGACTCACATCTCTCCAGAAGCCTCCTGTGATCCACAGAAGTACGTCTGATCTCTTTCCTATGACCCAAAAGACTCCCAACCCTGCCACTCCTCTTCCACACCATCACTTCCCACCTGAACGTTGTGTTCAAGAAACACCGCGAAACTGGTCGTACCTTCTTCCTCCCCCCTCCACCTGCCACCAAAACAAGGCTGTCTTGAGGGCCACCTGTCCCTCGACCTCACCTGCTTCGAATACCTCTGTATCTTGTCTTTCCTTGGAGAAGGCCCTTCAGACCGGGTTATTCAACTTAAGTATCCTCCAAAACTTCCTCCACCCATATCCCCACCCCAGGCTGGGATTCGATCATCTCCGCACTGATACGGTCATATATCATCTTTCGATGGATCTGTTCTTCTCAAAAGGCCCTGAGTCCTTGGAAGCAGGAACTGAGTTTTGTTTTTTGCTTTTTTTTTTTTTTTTCCATGTGGTGTCCTTAGCACCTAGCATGCTGCTCAATAAGTATTTAATTTATTTATTTGTTTAATAGGTTTCTCAACTCCTCGGGCATCTTTCTGATGTGTGTGGAAATTCAGTGCTCCTAACGGAATAAGAGGATCAGGCAAGTGTTATAAATATATCAAAGTGGCACAGAGCTAATAGTGTTCTGCAAAAATCTGATTCTCTAACAATCACAGTTGTAGAATTCACCATTTTTTTTTTACTTTTTTAAATATGTCTTTATTTTTGAGAGACAGAGAGAGAGCGAGTGGGAGAGGGGCAGAGAGAGAGGGAGACACGGAACCGGAAGCAAGTTCCAGACTCCGAGCCGTCAGCACAGAGCCCGATGTGGAGCTGGAACTCAGGAACCATGTGAGTTCATGACCTGAGCCAAAGTCTGATGCTTAACCGACTGAGCCATCCAGGTATCCCTAAAAGTCACCACGTTGGAAGTATCACTCACATGAGGAATCTTTGGGAAAGACTGCAG